AGTGTTTTTAACAAACAAGTTTCTAAAAGATTCTGATGGAAACTTTGTTGACTCGGAGCGTCCAATGAAGTACGCGGATTTGATTTCGGATGAAGAATGGGAGACGTTTGTTGCAAAGCGAAAAACAAAAGAATTTAAAGTATGTACAACTTATCATGAACTATGTATAGTATATATACTTCTTCCACAAGAGTTCTGATAAACTTGTTTTTTCAGGTTGTTAGTGGCGTAAATCGTCAACGGACATCAAATCCCGCATATCCATACAGAAAGGGGCGTTTGGGATATGCACGCTTAGAACAAAAAATAGTAAGTACATATAAATGCTTTAATATGATATATTTACAAAAAATAGTAAGTATATATAATAAGATATAATGTTTTATTATCCGTCTTAATGCGTAGTTGGAAGAGGAGAAGAGTGATGCGACATCTCTTCCGGACCATGTTGTATGGAAGGCTGCCCGTGTGGGAAGAGATGGAGTCGTTCAGGAAGAAGTTCAACAAGTCTTTGAACAATGTGTAAGTACAACGTTATCTTTGTCAGTAACTGATCAAAAGTGTATAATATATTTATATATGTTTTTATCTATATTTCAGGAGACTCTATCCCAGACCATAACTCCCGCTGAGGACGATGATTGCAGGAGCTTACTGAGTCGGGTGTTGAATATTCCTGAGTATTCTGAGCGTGTAAGGGGTAAGGGATTTGGTGTCACTCCGTCCAAACTGTATAAGCAGCCAAAGAAAAAAAATCCAACCAATAAAGAAGTGATGGATACTTTGTAGGAATTGAAAGCGCGGATTCGTGAATTACAGAAGGACAAGGAGAGATACATGTCGGAAAGGCACGCTCTAGAGGGTAAAGCTACTAGTGATAAAGATAGTATCGGTTGTCCGCAGAAGCTTCCAGAGGTAATTGTATATATTACATTGAAATTAATTTAGCACAGTTTACTTAATTGACACATTAACTGATCATTATTTGTTTAGGGCATTTCACTTTGCCGGCTATATTTATCGTCACCGACTCATCGAATGGTTGGCAAGGGAAAGGTGCATAACACTCTGGGAGACTTACTACACCACAAACCGCTCCCTTCTGGATTTTGAAAGTATCTATTGATATTGCGTTAGAGGGGGTGCGTTGTTGCCTATACTAGATGCTATTTCAGGCGCAACAGTGGTGGGAGACGCAATAGGAGCGTATGTGGCATGGCCGACAAATCTCATTTGCATAGATGATGAGGTAGGTTGAACCTTTTAATATTCAAATGTTTTATGATCCATACATGAAAGTTATTCTTACATTTACATTTTCTTATTTACATGATGATCTTAGACTCCTACAAAATCCAAATCAAAAGATGATAGAATTATTGTGCGGGATACCGATTCAGCTGCATCAAAGAAACAGGTACTACTACAGTTACATGATTATCTTATTATACATTAATTATTGAACTTATATATGACTTTTAAGTTCATGATCAGCAGTTGCAACAAGTCAGCAAGGGTAAGATGCCTGAAACTTCCAAGGTGCCCAGAAAAGCATTTGTTCCTCGATTTAGGATGTGCCTTGAAACATATGTGGGAACATCAGATGTGCCTGAGGGTGGCATCCGTCAAATACATATGGATGGAGGTATTTTCGGTTTTGAATATCCCGAAACAATTGCTAAGGAGGATTTTGACCAGGTTTTCAACCATTCTGAATTGGGCGTCGGTGTTATGCATTCATACATCAGGTACTTCGATCCATTTTAATTAAATAATTGAACATTTTAAAATTTTCTCATTTAACTGAATATTCTAATGTTGATTATGTTTTTTAGGCTCTTGTATGACAAGTTGTTGGTCCCGAATGATTTGACTTCAGTATTCACATTCTTATCTGCTAGTTGTGTCAACTCACGGACAATAGACTAGACACCAGATGCAGTCAAAGAGTACACAGTGCAAAGATTTATGGGCGCGACTACGGAGAAGTTGTCTTTGTTGCCATATAATACTGGTCATGGGTTAGATTTTATTCTAAATTCATTTATTATAATTGTTCTATTTTTTCCTTTCTATATAACATTTTCTTCTAAACTGTTGTTTTATTTTATAGTGGAAATTGGTTGTTGGTCGCGATTAATCCGAGGAAAGAAATAGTGTATTATATAGATTCATTGGATGGCGATGCAACAAAATATGAAAATCTGAGGAACATGGTTGATACGTAAGTGATGAGATATACTGTTCTGAATAATTATATATCTTTATTTATTATGTGACATTGTTCTAAATATGCGTTTATATTATATTAGAGTTATACAAATATTCAGAGCACAAAGAGATGCAACGGTGCCAAAAAGCAAGGCTAACAACATCAACTGGATCAGAGTGGAGGTATATTTTCCCATGTTTGACTGTTATAGTTGTTCTACTTGATAAAACTATTTAAACTATATATCTTGATAAATGTTCGTTTGTTTTTTCCATTTACAGTGTCCTCGTCAGCGCAATGGGATTGACTGCGGATATTTTGTATTGCGCTTTATGAAGGAAATTATTCTTTCTGGTCAAATAGAGGTTCCAATCATGGTATGGATCAATTCATAAGTTATATGATTCATTTTGATAATTATCCGATACTTCATCTGAGTAATTAGTTTTAAAATTAAATCTTGCATGTTCTGTTATATTATGTAGTATTTTGATGAATTCAAGTGCGCTACTTACTCGAAAGCAAGATTGGAAGAAATTAAAGAGGAATGGTGTCAATTTATTCTTGAGTTGAGAATTGTATAAAGTTATCGGATTGGAAGAATTGTAATTATATGTAAATTGACTGTATTTGTGATGTTGTAATTCTGAGGATCAGATTTTGTTGTAAAGTATTTAAGCAGGTTTATGTGTATTAAAATGATTATGGGCAAAGTGATGAGTTACAATGTATACTTAAAGGCCAAAGTTTTAAATTGTATATATAAGGCCAAAGTTTTGAATTGTATATATAAGGCCAAAGTGTTGAAATAAAGGCCTGAGTTATAAGCAGGTTTGTGTAATATAAGCAGGTTGTTGGTAAATATACAAAACAGCGTGAATATTTAAAAAATAATAATTTTAAAATCTGGGACATTAGACAACGCTTTTACAAAAAAACGCTGCTAAAGGTTACAAACATAGCACTACAAAAGCGCTGCTATAGGTTTGAAAGGGGGGGTCTAAGACAAAAGCGCTGCTAAAGGGGGGGCTATGACAGCGCTTTGTAAAAGCGCTGCTAAAGGTGGGGTCTAAGACAACGCTTTGTGAAAGCGCTGCTAAAGGGGGGAGGGTTGGGAGGAATATGTAGCGCTTATAAAAGCGCTGCTAAAGGGCTAAAAAAGCGCTGCTAAAAGTGCTGTTGAAGGGAGCCTTTAGCAGCGCTTTTTCCATAAAAAAAGCGCTGCCTTTACCTTTAGCAGCGCCACTTTTGGCAGCGCTTTTAAGCACTGCTAAAGGCCAAAAAAAGCGCCGCTAAAGGTCTTTTTTGGCATAGTGAAATATTTTGTTTGGTGGAAAGGTGCTTACATTGACCACTAACATGAGACTTCTAACCGGAGGTATGAATTCAAATGTTGAAAAGAGAAAGAGTTTTTCAGAGTGAATTTTGGGAATTGGTGATAGAAGAATCGGAGACGCTAATGATGAAGATCTCATAGTCCAGATACCACAAGATTTGTTGATTACTAGCTTTGGTGATCCACTTTCAACTATTGTTCAAAGCATGTATCTAGATCTAATGCATAATATTAGTGATCCATCATTTTTCTAAAATAGAGCTATATTGACTCCTAATAATGCAATTGTGGATGCCATAAATATTTAGACGTTGGATCTAATACCTGGAGAAGAAAAAACTTATTTGTGTTATGACTCTCCATGTAATGCTAGATCAGATGTTAACATGTCAGATGATGTGCACACTCATGAATTTCTAAACACCATTGTTTCTTCTGGACTTTCAAATCACAAACTAAGATTGAAAGTTGGAGTCTCGGTCATGTTATTGAGAAATATAGACCCGTCTTTACGATTTTGCAATGACACCCGGTTGATAATTACAAAAATGGGAAGGTATGTGCTGGAAGAAAAAATTATATCTGGTAGCAATATTGGTGAGAAAATTTATATTCCAAAGTTATCATTAACTCCTTCAAATAAAAGACTTCCTTTCAAATTTCGACATCAACAATTTTTATTGATTGCTTCATTTTCTATGACTATCAACAAAAGTTAAGACCAATCACTCAAACATGTTGGAGTATATTGACCCAATCGATTTTCTCTCATGAAAGACTATATGTTGCACTATCTAGAGTTACTTCAAGAATAGACTTAAAGATATTAATAACTGACGATGAAGGTGAAAAATCAAATGTAACTAAAAATGTGATTTACAAAAAAATATTTCAGAATGATCAGAATTAGAGTTAGTTAGTAGATTATTTATATAAAACTATATAATTTCTTTTATAATATTTAAAAAAAATTTATTTTCATTCAAGTATTTGTTTCATACAAATATAAATATTATTTATCACATTTTAAAACACATGCACAAGTATACGTTTCTGCATCTCGTTTAATAAAACTCAAGTTACGAGTACATCAAATTACAATAAAACATCAAAGTTGTTGCTGAGAGAGAAGAAAACATGAAATTGTAGTAGTATATTAGTATTATTAATATCTTAACATATGATAAATTATAACTTTATAGATAATAATATATTAACATATGATAAATCATCATAACATTATAGCATATATGACCACTGAAACCAAATTAATATACTTAATGTTGTTATCTTATCAGCTTTCCAATTTCAATTGGATAAGCAAGTATAGCCTATAGTAAAGACCTTATTGTTCAATCCATTCCACTCAACAACGAATAATAATATTAGAATATTTAATGAAAACCACCAAACGAATGTTCACACTATATGTCTTAACGTCTTTCCATCATTTCATGTTTTGCTTATTCTCTTCTTAGCTTCCATAATAAAATCTGAAAACCGGTCATTCAGATTTTCCATCTTGTTATAAGAATTTGCCTCATCTTGAACATGGATGTTCTGTCCCTTACCAACGTTGGACACAGTTCCAATTCTGTTATTAGTACGTTCAATGAACTCACTAAAAGCATCATTAATATCTAATGTTTTATTACCTTGTTTCTCCAAGTTCACCAACCCTACCTTCAAAGGTTTCCCATTATAATTCTCACCTATCATCTTTTTCTTAGCATTTGTATTACGTTGATCGTCCCTGATAACTGTTTCGGACTCGCCTTTTCTTTCCGATACTCCGACGTGTGGCGAAGCAACTTTTGAAGTATGTTCACTTACCATTGAATAATCAAATGTGATAGGGATTGTTCCTCCTCCACTTCCTCCTTCTATGTTAACTGTCTTCATTTGTTGTGGCTTAGGTTCTTGATTATGTTGTTTCATTTGAAGAACGGTTTTGAAAGCAAGATTGGTTGCAAGTACTTGACGGATTTTTCTACAAATTGACAAGTTTGAGGATGTTTTGTTGTTTTTCTCCATTGACAAAAGAGTACTAATGGCTATATTTGGTTGAGTGTGATTTGCAAGAGGATGGTGTTATATAGTGCAAATTATTTGTGTGTGAAAATGACATAGAGGATTTGAAAATGGGAAAGTAAAAAGAACATTGCTTTGAATGGTGGAAATAATTGAGTTTGAAGAAGCAACCAATTAAGATTCCAAGCAGCGTTAATAATAATAATACAACTTTTTTTCTCCAAATTTTCTACGGACTGTGATGGCTGGATCAATTTCTACGAAACTAACAAGTCACGTTAATCACGTTAGTTATTACTTAAACTTTGGTATCTCCAGCTTTTTGTTGCCATAATTAGCTGATTAATACTTTTATAAAAATAATAAATTACTAATTAGGCTTAGTTTGGAAAAAGCAACTTACCTATGGATTTAGAATTTTAAGGATAGGCCGAGGTTAAATCTGAGTTAAATCGGTTATAATTAAATTAATATATATTTTTTATAGGAGAATAATAATACATAGTTATTTATTTTATTGAATTGTAATTCTTTGTATCGAAGTATATTTTTTGATAGAAGTAAGAAAATGTTAAATTGTGTAAATGTCGAAATGTAAGAAGGTAAGTAAAGAGTATGTGTGTCTTAGGAAGACTATTTGAGAGGGTTTTTATAGTACCCCCAGCGCTTAGCCATTGGTCTCTATTTTCACGGCGAGCTATTCGCTCCCCAAATAATAGGTAACTGTCAGAAACTAGCCGTTGGGACGGGCAGAGGTGCCTAAAACTAGTCGTTGTCACGGGCAGAGGCGTAGTAATATATTATATATAAAACTTAAATAAGATGGTGTTTTCTCGATCCTTGCCCGAAGTGTAATCAGGGAAACTTTTCCCTCCATCCCCGTCCCCATGGGAAAAAAATATCCAACTTCGAAGCTCTAAACAGATAATCTCCACGGGAATCCTCGTTAACAGATGCAAATTGGCATCCCTAAAACCAATGTTGGTTGATTCACTCGAATGAAGAGTGAAGAAAAAGAGGGATAATCAATTAGAGAGATTGACTATTGTTCATCAAGATTTGGTTCGAAATTCTTCAAGTTTTGGTGAAATTTTTTAACGGAATTTGGTTTAATTCCAACAGTTGATATCTAGAGCACATGTTGAGTGATTCGTGGGAAGAAAAACATGATGGCAATGAATCATTTGCATGAACATTTTCCGATAAGTCTCTCAATTCTGAAGGTCAGAATTATGATAATTGTTAGAAACATATGAAGGTTGTATTCTATTATCAAGATCCTTGGGATCTTGTGAAGAAGGGAGTGACACCACTTATAAGAAATGCGACGGATGAAGAAAAAGTTGCACACAAAAAATTGAAGAAAAAAGATTATAAATCTCTCTTTATAATTCATCAATGTGTTTATCCAGACAATTTTGAAAAAGTCAGTGATGTAGAATCATCAAAAGAAGCAAATTAAAATTTGGAGAAATCATTTGGAGGCGCATAAAAGGTGAAAGATGTGAGGTTACAAACTTACAAAAGAACGTATGAATTACTTCAAATGGAAGAAAGTGAAAGCATAACTGATTTTTTCACTAGGGTTACGGAACTAATGAATCAAACCAAGGTATGTGGATAAATGTTGAAATTAATATCACTAATGCGAAGCAAAATCCAGAAAGGAAGGGAAAATTTTGGGGTGCAACAGTAGCGTAGAGGATGTTTCTGGTGATTGTTGATGACTGGCGGTGGTTTGGCCATTTTCCGCTGCTGTCGGCATTGCCGGAGCCTTAAAAGCTTAGGCCTTTTAATTGATTATGACGCTTTTGCGACAACGGAAGCATTCTTCGTCGGTGGAAACCATGATTTTCTGGTGTACTTATGAGTTTTCCTATAGTTTAATTTCCAACGGAAATTCTGGATAGCTTACCAGGGAGGCTCTCCCTGCGTGTGTTAGAGGGATTGCCCTAGGCATCTCTTTGCACTGTAGCTGTTCCAGTTGAGTAGAGCTTAGGCCGAGGACGTTGTCCTCGGGCCTTCGCGCGCCCTTTCACTTGACTAACAGTGGAAGGGTAGATTTGACTTTGTCATTGAATTCACTTTCGTCTTCTGTGTTTCAGGTAAAGGAGATGTCACACGAAGCTGAGGATGAAATCCTGAGAGATCTGTCCGAGGAGAGCTCCTCAGAGGATAGCGATACTGAAGATACTTCCACGCCCCATGACGCTGGTGAAACACCTACTTTGAGGACTACAGCGGATGAATGGTTTGTTGCAGAACCCGGGGGGCATGCCTCCCTTTTCGCCTCTTACACTGGAGATGCCTTCACAACGGTGGAAGTTGAGGGAGAGTGGAAGGTCCATTTACCCGGAGAGGACGACCGCATTTGCTCGGCATACAGGGAGAGATTCCATATGTATGAATATGTCTTCAAAGAGATATGGCTGAGGTTTTCCTTTACAGAGTTTTAGAGGGAAATCTTCGTGCATCTGGATCTGGCGCCTTCGCAATTACATCCAAACTCGATCGCCTTCATATGGGCATTTGAGCTGGTGTGCGATTATCTGGAGATTGGAGCTACCCTTCCCCTTTTCTTTATAGTCTTCCATCTTCAGCGACAAGTTTTGGGGAGGAAGTTCGACTGGGTCTCCCTAAAGCAGGGGAGGAAGTTATTCAAGCTCTTTTCTGAGTCCATTAGGAATTTTAAGGAAAGATTTTATATTATCAAGCCCGTGTCGGAGATGGTCACCAACTCCACGTTTTTCTGGGAGGTTTCAACGGATGAGGATGGGGAAGCCCTTGTCGACGAGCAGGGCAAAATACAGGCGTGAAGGTTGTTGAAGTTCCCTTTCTGCTGGAGTTGGGCTCATTTTATCCTGCTAACCGACGATTATCTCGCCATTCCTTACATACTGAGGGAGGATGACCAAGCCAGCTATGCCAAGCTAATGGCTTTCGTGGATGGTTTTCTTTTTGCCCAGTGTGTGACCCGTGGCGGAAAGGTTATTTATGAAGAAGATGGGGGACCCAAGGTGGAAGCCTGGTATATCAATACGAAGGAGCTTTTAGTTTTTCTTAGTTTGTTCGAATTGTTATTTTCTTCGCATATTAATGTGCTTGTTATTTTGCAGGTAAAATATCTTCTGCCCACGAACGAATGGTGAAGAATGCTCAGCCGAAGCTCAAGGGGGGCATAACGACCAGGAAGAGCCGCCTCAACCAGCGAGCGCCTCCTTGGAAAACGGGGTTGGGGACATCGTCGTCTACCCCATCGGTCTCCCAAACATCCACAGTTCCTGTAAATTCAAGGCTCAAGCGCCAACGGATAGGCGAAATCATAGACCTTATCAAAGAGGAGGAGAAGAGTAGATTTGAGCTACCCCGTGCCTTCACAACAAGAGATTCTTCGAAGGCTCCTCTTTGGCAATTCCTCAGACGGAGTATCTGAAGCTCGAGGAGATAGACCTCCCGAGAAAGAGGATAATTCTAGCTCAGGATGCTTCTGCCCTAATAAGGGTTCTGGAAATTGCGGTGGTTTACACCGAGGAGGGCTCCGCCATGAATTCGAGCTGAAGAAGGCACATGTTGCGACTGCAGACCTGGAAGAGAAGTTGAAGAAGTCCCAGGAAGATCGGGCCAGGGCGGGCGAGCAGGCGGTGAAAAATTACAAGAATGAGTTGGCCAAGGTCAACGGGGAGAAGGATACCCTTGTCACGAAAAAGAAAGCTGCGGAGGACCTGGTTGAGCAGTTGAAAATTGCCGCTGCTCCCGCTAAAAAGAAAGCCGCAGAAGATACCCTTGCCACGGAATGAGAGCGAGGAAGTGAAGATATTGAAGACTCAGGCTGAGCTAGTCGCTTGTATTACCCAGGCAGAGGATGACAATGTGGGCATCGCCGATGACGCCTTCAACAATGCTGTGGAGCAGCTGAGGATCTTGAACCCCAGGGTCGAATTGTCCACCAAGGGAGCCGGGTTCCTCCATAGTGTTGTGGACGGAAGGATCATCATCCCCAACTTTCTTTAAATCAGCGAGGGACATGCACAACTTGCCTGTGAAGAGCCTCAGCAGACAAACGAGTGATTTTCCTTTCAGTTGTACTTTTGGCTTGCGTGTCGTGTTTTTGTAACTTATTTTTTGTATAGGGCTTGGCCCCTTGGTAATGTAACATGTACAATCGCGGTCCTTGTGGTCGTTCCTACTATAATGTTTATTTTCGGCGAATGTGGCCGGTTCTGTATGATTAATTTTCGTGCATGTCTTTACTTTGCTTTATTTTTGCTAAGTGTCAAAATGCTGCTCGAGATGTGTGCCAGTCATAAGGGCTACTTTAATAAAGGATTTTTTATTTCGGGGTTTTCTCGACAAGATATGTTTGATAGTGAGGGGAACTGGTTGAAAGGCCTGGGTAGCTTCCGGACATGAGGGCGAAGCTCATGTTGCGTTTGTGGCCTAAGTTTGCAACGTGAAGTTCTTATTGTGAGCTGGGCGTTTTGCCTGGCGTGGTAATTGGTCAACGGAGAGCTCGGTCGAGGGACCTCTGTCGGGCACGGGTTTTTCTCGTTCCTAAATAAAAGTCTGCCTTGATTTATTTGGTATGCAGTGCTTGTACCTGGGTGCACACTTATGCTCGGTGCGTTATGCTCGTCGTGTCGACGAAGCCTGCCGATGGTTAAATCCTTAGCTATAATATTGATTTAGATTTTCAGAATTTCATGGTCAAGCAAGTTCTTCCTGTTAAGATGTTCTAGGTAGTAGGCCTCATTCTTAGTTTTTGCTCGAACACGATAGGACCCCTCCCAGTTAGCGGCGTGTTTTCCTTCTTGAGAAACTTTATGATTCCTCTATAGGACGAGACTGCCTACTTGGAACTCTCGTCGTATAACTTTGGTGTTATGCCTAATCGTGATTTTTTGTTTTAATGAGGCCTCGCGAAGGGCTGCTCCTGACCGTACCTCTTCGACGAGCTCGAGCTCCTCCCTTAGTGTCTCGCTATTTGTCTCCTCGTCCAGGGAGCT